CGAATCGAAGTTGTGTCGTTGCCAGCAGAACTGAAGCTTGGTCTGCTCTCGTTGGCTTTCTTGGTTGTGGTTGCACTGGGAGATCCACTTCCTTGGACCGAGAAGGAAGCAGAACTATTAGCATCCACTCCACCCATTTCGTCTGCAAATAAATCTGTGATTTTCTGATTTTTGTGACATCAAGAAGTGGAGCAACCGATAAAAAATGGCTTCGGTGGGACCCCCTGAAGGTGTGTTCTTAATTTCGGAGCGGCGTCTTAGTCCCAACACCTTGTCATTCTTTTTCTCTAAATAAGGGCATCGTCATAGTTTCCCTTTGAGTGGCATTGGTAGAGTACCAGTACACTTGTGCCCGTACCAGCAGTTACCGCTTGTTTATTTGAACCGTCTGGAACAAAAGCCCTTGTGCAGGTATGCTTTATCAGGTTTTTTACACGATTGGATTCTGCCACCGGATGAAACTCTGTGCCAGGAGGGCTAAATGAACCTGCTCCCTTTTTGTCACCAGTCTTGGGCCAATTTCATGTACATAATATAAAAATGGACTTCCTTGGACTATGAGCAGAATTATTCTATATTTCCTATGCGTGGTGATTTCCTCATTTGGGAAACGCTCGGTGTGACAAGTTTTCACCGGATAGACTTTTCGTCCCTCCTCTATTTTAGAAAAGCTTCTGATCTGATTATTGGTTTTTCTCTTTTAATTACACCAAATAAAGAGGCTCTTCATCTTTTCATTGGTGTGCGTTTCGATTTTCCGAAGCGAAGTCAGCACAAAATTAAGAAAGCGGGAATAAACTGCAATGGGGCATCCAGTCTTGGTGCTCATACCGTTGTCGGTACGTGGTAGTAGAACCGCTTGACACTGCTTTTCGGCTGTGCGCATGCTTGAAATCTACAGTAGATGAGTCTGGAAATGACGAGAAAGCAGTCACCAACGTGCCGTGAAGGTTGGAGGAAAAAGAATAAAGTATAAACCCTCTGCTTTCTGTGATTCAAAAGCATCGCAACTACGAATGCAAATAATATTAGCTAAACTGTGGACACCCGAACACCAAATACCAACCTATTTCATTCTCACATGTTCACACACAATAGTGACTTTGTGCCTCAGTAAAAGCAACGGGCTTATCATTGACATGGAGAAAACGTTCGTGACGGGCCAAGAGTAGTGCCATTGTATTGCTCATACTATACCACCAGGATTCAGGGTTTCATCAATATTCTCTTTTTTAGGCCAAGTTCCAATGACTTGGATACATTCCACATCCATGACCGAGACGACCAGTGACACCTGATATACATGGGCAAGGACAAGTTCCGCAACTTGACCGATTACGTCGGATCCAAAATAGAGCAGACTAATGGATACATAGTCTTCAGAGACTGCCTAAAGGTTGTCTTGATATCTTTCAGTCGTCATTCTTTATTCCAACAGAAGCATATTGTTGACTGACGGGACGAACCCGAGAGGTGAGTTCCAGAGGCGTCAAGAGCTCTAATTTTGTTGCGGGCTTTCACACTCATTATAGTATTGGAGAATCATATCCGTATATCGAAATCATCTTTTTTCTCTTGAATTTCCTCTGATCTCAGGTCGGATGAAGATTCTGAAGAGAATTCATGAGGTTATGATGACGCTGCGGACCGGATCATGGAATGCATAATGGTCGTATCATGATGCATGATCATGAACGAAAGATGGATTTGGAGGCAAGAAAGACGGTTACGTTAGCACAAGAAGGAGATAAGAATCAACAACTCGGTTGAATCTCGGTCTGAATAAATCTGATAGCAGAGCTGAATGAATGAGTCTCAAGCAAACAGATTATTGACGAAGGTGCGATCCAATCAAAAATTTGTTTCCACAGACCAATCAATGCATCGCCGACTGCACGTCAATCTCGCCCCTGCCCATCTTGATCCGGTGTAGTGATCAGGGCTCATTGGTTTTCTTGGCGTCTGAAATGACCACTGAAACGACTCAAATACTGAATCGATTTGGCATATAGCCATCATCTTCTTGCGGGTTCGATACCATATATGGTTTCAGAAGAAATCATAATTCTATCGGCTCGCTGCTTTTCGGTGGGTCCGCATGGTCGTCATGGAAGAAAAAAATTACTCAATAATATACCAGTTCCTTATTCTAAGGAACCTTATAATAAGGATAGAGTCGTATGAACTGAACGATATGGCATGTTATAGTAGTAGGATCCAAGTAAGTCATAATCATACACAGTCTTCTACTTTTATATGTACAATCTCAACAGACGCATCCGATTCACAGTAAAGGATTAACTCCTAGCTTCTTTGAAACTATATATTCAATGGCCGTAGCAATTCTTCGTGCTTCGAGCGGATGGACTCGACCTTCAAATCTGATCCCCAACGCGAATAGAACTCGAGTGCGTGCGATAAAGCGTCTCGGGCCCCTTCCGTATCGCCTATTCCCAGCAAGTACTCTCCATATCGTTCAGATGCCAGTCCAGCATCGCTCACTCGCGGCATATGTTCGGCGGTCTTGATGGATTTCTTGTACAATTGACCAGCTTTCTTGTCGTTGCCAGCCAACACGGCAAACTCTGCGTCCAAAAGGAGGTCAAGCTGTTTTACGTTCGCACAACCTTGGGCAATCCATCTCTTCACCTTCTTGCTGATGTGTTTTCCGAATCGTTTGTACTTTTGACATTGACGCCCAGAAGCAGAACGGGCACAATGCAAACAAGAGATGGCAGTATAGATCTCGAACCAAAAGCCAATTGAGTTCCCTGCATTTTGAATTGAGGCAGCCTGGATCTGATCCATATGCTCATCAGCATTTGCTTGGTGGTTGCCACAGAAAGCAAAGATTATCGCTTTGATTCCAAGTCGCAAGGCCCCATCTACAGTGTCAGGTGACGCCGGAGGCATGGCTGTCTCATCCATGGCTTCGCCCTTCAGCACAAATGGGTCTTCTGACTGCCCTTGCATGTTCAATACTCCTTGCCACAAAATCGTCATCAGACCAACCTGCCATCCACGATTCCTTCGCTGAAGACTTCGAATTCTGTTACGGGCCTCGGCTGCAGTAGACTTGAGAGAATGTCCACTAACAAGTGCATAGTAAAGCAGGAGCATGTTTGAATACAACGCCGCTTGGATGTCCCCGACCTGTAAACTATAATGATAATTCTCTTCGTAGCCCTTCAAAACCCAGCGGATGTCCCGGGTGTGACTCATCATACAGAGGACGTACATTCTTGACGCTGCCTTCGAGTAGCGGTCCTTCGAACGATCCATGATTCCTTTGGCAAACTTCCCGTGCGCATCAATCACCCTGAGATCGGTGGCGTAAGTTCCTCGAAAGACATAGGCATTGCCAGCTTCATCGCAGACTCCAAAGGTATTCACAAGAGATGCCATCTTCGAAGTAACTGTTGGAAGCTCTGCCTTGTTCGTCATGTATGTCAAAACCAACAACGTCGACAGGATTTTCATCGCTGATAGAGCATTTGCATCAGTCATCACTGGAAGGGTCGACGCCGTCTCTGGATTCAGATTCCTGTCGTAGTCTCTGACGATATTGAAGCGCTTGAAGATTGATTGTTTTCCTCCAGGTTTCATCAGAGGGTGGTCCAATTGCTCCAATACCTCGTAGCCAAGTTCTTTTCCAGCCTGTAGATCCCTTCCGGATAGAGACTCGAGCATTGCATAGTACAATGGGAGCCTATCCTTGAGCGGAATATCTGGTTGTTCCAGCACTTCGTCGTACAAGGATTGCATCGTTTCCACATTGTCGAGGACTCCATGCGCTTGGGTGGCTAGAGTATAAAGCTTCAAGGACAACTTGTACTGGGACTGCCAGTGACCATCTGGAAGGAGTCCAATGGCAATGTCTGAGTAACTAGCGGCGATCTCGAACCCAGATAGTCTCATGGCTCGTTGCGCTGCCCGTAGGTTCAGCTCAGCAAAAGTGACAGCAGACGCGGACGATGATACCTCTGTTCCGATCCCGACATTCAGTAGATTTACCACAACAAACAAGGCCTGGTCCATTTCTTGTCTTGAAAGTCGACGCAGCAAGATTTTACCAACTTGGAAGCGCATCTTGGTGAGATCAGTACCACTGGCGATCGAAAGAGCTGCTTCTTGGACCTTATCGTGAATCCAGCGATATCCAACGTTGTCCATTTTGACGAAACCAGCCTCAACGGCCTTCGTCAACCATTTCGACAGCTGACCGGACTTGGGAGCATCTTGTTGGCTTGCAAAGTAATCGGTGACAACCCTGGACAAGACACTCTCTTGAAAGCTTGCACCTAAACATGCTGCGAGTTGGAGTACCTCTCGCATTCGCTTGGGCAGATTCTTCATGCGTTGCTTCAAAATATCCACCACGTTGTCGGTGGCAATGGTCTCCAGCTCAATCTCGGTTTCGTCCCACACCCAACACTTTTCAACGTTGGAGTATACCACGAGATGTTGATTCTTGAGCATGTCGATAAAATTCAATACAAAGAATGCGTTGCCTCCAGTCCTTCGGTGGATGATCTCTGACAGGTCGGACGTTCGATAGCTAGGCAGGTGTAGCAGATCCACCAAGATCTCGTCCACCTGCTGCATTTTGAGATCACCAACCTCAATCTTTGTAGTATCGAAATCATACTCCTTTTGCTTCTCGTCAAGAGTCTCGATCATCTTGCTGACCACGTGTGTCTGATCGACTTCGTTGGATCGGTAGAGGGCAATAAGCATAAAGTTGGAGCTGGATTCATCGGTCATCAATACTTGCATAAGGTTGATGGACGTCAAGTCGGCCCACTGGATGTCATCCAAGACCATCACTAGAGGCTTGAAGAAGGTTGCCACAGTGCGAAAGAAGGTACGAATCGCATTGTTGAGACGTTCCTTGTTGGCTCCAAAGTCGCCACCGGCGCTATCTTCCTGCGCCAGGAGGAGTTCAGACGAACCAACAATGTCTTCGATCTCGGGAAGGATCATGGCGAGTGTGGACAACTCTGATCCGACATTCTTCATGATCATCTTGCGAATATCTTCAAAGTCCATGTGCTCGGATGAGTTCTTACGATGCAGTATTTCACCGCAGATGTGGCGTCCAGCAGCTGCAATGCCAGCATATGGCTCATCGCGCAGCTTCTGGTCGAACTTGCCCATGGCGAAGATTCCATTCTTACTTACAACGGAATCGGCAACAGTGGCAGCAAGAGCTGTCTTACCAGTTCCTGAGAGTCCTGAAATGTATACAAGTTTGTTTTTTCCGGTAGAGACCAGATCATCGAGACATTTTCGAATCGTTCTCGTCTCCTTCTGGCGTCCGTATAATCCGAGCTGAGACATTTTGGTATCGAGCTCTTTTTCTTGACTCCCCTGGGAGGAATCGGCGTTTGAACTTGCCTCATTGCCAATCTTCGTCGTTGACGATGTGCGAATCGAAGTTGTGTCGTTGCCAGCAGAACTGAAGCTTGGTCTGCTCTCGTTGGCTTTCTTGGTTGTGGTTGCACTGGGAGATCCACTTCCTTGGACCGAGAAGGAAGCAGAACTATTAGCATCCACTCCACCCATTTCGTCTGCAAATAAATCTGTGATTTTCTGATTTTTGTGACATCAAGAATTGGAGCAACTGCTAAAATGACTTTGGGACTTTTTGTTCTGTTAGGAGTGGCATCTCATCGCAATAGCTTGTCGTTTTTTTTCCATTGAACATGTCCGGTACCAGGTTTTTAATTAAAAATGCCCGACCCTTGTAAGCGTCACCATCTTCATCGCACCTCACTCTCTCACCAAGTTCGCGAGAAGATTGATTCCGCCGGTAGCGTCATGGTTCTGGTACCGGTACACGTACGTTACCAGTACCTGGTACGCAGTACTATGGCATTGATCACACACAGCACGCCGTTCAATTCGGAAATCTGCATGTGGTCCCGGCAATCAAGCGGATGCAATAAGAGCGGGCTCTTCATTGCGGTGAGGCTGCGGTATTACTACCACGCAACCTCTTTCGGTCTATCTGAAGTGGCTTCATACCGGTATGATATACCGGTATCTTATTGTTCCATTTTCGAAATAGAAAAGGGATCGCATTTTTCGCTAAGTCTCTCCTAATGATATTTTCGATCGGATTTTCGCTACCGGATTATTCTACCGGAAAAGCTGAATTTACCCTCGGAGTATTTTCGGAAAATATCAATTACATATATGACATCGGATAAATTGGGTTTTACCACCGCAGTTCTACGTCGTGTACCAAAAGGAAATTGAAAATGATGATAGAGACTCGTCCCAAAAAATGGTGATGATGAATACGAAATGGCAAACCCAGTCATACATTGGATGGTCCTGGACCATGCAACTTATAAACACTTATAAACATTAATTCCTTTCCACTTGCGATTTGGTCCACGAAATCGCTTTTCCAGAATGAAGCAACGCAACCTTCCAAGAACCGGAGCACTGCTGTAGCTTCTGTTGAACCACTCGTAGCTGCCCTGAAGAATGATGTGGCAGTAAACTGGCAACAACCGGAATTGACTAGCGCTACAGGAGGTGATTGAAACATAGAGCGGTGGTGTTTTGTTCAACCTTTTAGA